TGCTTGCGTGTCCACTCTCCATGAACACTGAGAAGCCAGCTTTCTGTGGAAGGTGTGGTCACGACACGCTGACTGTTGACTTGTCTTTGTGTGGTAGCTGATTTCTGATGCAGGGTACCAAGGGGAGATAACCAGCGTGTCCACGGCGTGCCAGCAGCTAGAAGTATTCTCTAGAGTACTTCGTACTTCTCTAGCCACGATTTTAGATGGAGGAGAAGAAAACCTGGAAAAAAATCTCCCTGAGTTTGCTGTAAGTGCTTTACTTTTTGAATCTCAGATTAGACAGAGGCTATGTAGGTCTTGCATTTTCAAGCATGAAGTGCTCCTTCCCTTTAGAGACTCTGCATTGCAGAGGGTACCTTCCAGGATAACTCCCATGCCTGAGAACTATTGAAGTTTGGCTCTTGTCTGCTTGTCAGTGCTGCAGTAGTGAACACCAGTCCTCTTTCCCTGCGATCTTGCAGAAGATGGTGTGTCATGGGGAGCACACGTACCTGTTTGCCCAGGCCATGATGTCCGTGCTGGCCCAGGAGGAGCAAGGGGGCTCTGCTGTGCGCAGGATCGCTCAGGAAGTGCAGCGCTTTGCCCAGGAGAAGTAAGAGGCCATGTTTTTGCTCACCCTGTCCTCCTTAGTGCTCCCATCAAAACCCTTCCTATGGCCCTTGTTCCACAGCCAAAGCTTCTAGCTCCTTCTGTTTTGACTCATACGTAAACTTCCTTTCATCCAATAAAGTAAGAATGGTTTTAAGAACACGTGGAGAGCTTGCTTTCTACAGCATTGCTTTGATGCCTGTTTTGTGAAGTACTTGATTACTCTCCAGCCCACTGGATTATGGACCTGTACTTTCTCAGATTGGGTTCCTCAGTGGCAAATGATAGTCATCCTGAAATAGCTGTTCAGTGATCTAATTATTACATTGTAGTCCATATCTTACAGAAAAAAATGAGCTGCTAATAGCTTTATTTTCTACTAATAGAGTCTTTTTTTAAAATTATTTTATTCTACTTTTCTTTTTTTTTTGTTTTTTTAACATTCTGAGACATTTCTTTGCTTCCATACTAATAGAGTCTTGATGAAGTATCAAAAAGTATGTGATTCCTTCTATAGATTCAGCAAGCTGTATTTGAATCATTCTTTCCCAGTTTGCTCTAGATGTTTTCATGGGTCAGTCAGTATACCAGTGAAATATGGAAAAACAGAGAGATCTCAACAATCCAAAACAGTAAATGTAACTAAGAAAAAGGAAGAAGAAAAAGCTGCCTTGTTAATGACGGGATTTGTGGTTTTTCCCATCAAGAGGCCACGATGCCAGTCAGATCACACTAGCCTTGGGCACAGCTGCTTCCTACCCCCGGGCCTGCCAGGCCCTTGGGGCCATGTTGTCCAAAGGAGCCCTGAACCCTGCCGACATCACCGTCTTGTTCAAGATGTTCACAAGCATGGACCCTCCTCCTGTGGAACTGGTAAGTTTTTCTCATCTTAATAAGATGGGATGCCTTCAGTGCTGACTGGCTGGGTTGCTTTGGAAAGTCTGTGTTTACGCAGTTCTCTTAAGTCAGTGAATGCAAATTCCTATTGAAATGTTTCCATTCCTTTTCCTGGTCCTTCCTCACTACACTGGGCCTTGGAACATGTTAGGGAGCCCTGCAGGGGTGGGCATGAGTAAGCATGCGCAGCTCCTGCCATCCTGCTCCTGGCCGTGTGTCTCTGCAGATCCGGGTGCCAGCCTTCCTAGACCTGTTCATGCAGTCACTCTTTAAGCCAGGGGCCAGGATCAACCAGGACCACAAGCACAAATATATCCACATCTTGGCTTATGCGGCAAGTGTGGTTGAGACCTGGAAGAAGGTAAGGTACTATCAGTTCTGAGAATTTGTGGACTTTTAGGAGACAGGTATCCTTGTCTGCTTTGGTATTATTTGGGAGTTTTAGCTATAAGAAATCTTGAGCCTGTCTAGTGTCAGAAATGTCTGTTCTACTGTTTGTGCATAAAGTAGAGAAAGTGCTAAACATCTCAAGAAAATGTGCTTTGCGTCTATAATATTCTGCAAACTGTAATTTGAAGTGTGACTAAAAAAATGAAACTAATTTCCATGAGCCACAAACACCAGTCTCATTAGTTTTCAGTTTCTATACGCTGTGTGACTGTAAAGTTTGACAATTAAATTAACTCCCAACTTCAGAAAAAGGGAAAGTGATTTGCAGAGAGAAGCGGCAGATACCAGAATACCCCGGCAGCAGGGTATGTGCTCCGCCAGGATTCAGCAACTTGTGTCTTTTCAGAACAAGCGAGTGAGCATCAATAAAGATGAACTGAAGTCAACATCAAAAGCTGTTGAAACTGTTCACAATTTGTGTTGCAATGAGAACAAAGGGGCCTCTGAACTGGTGGCAGAACTGAGCACACTTTACCAGTGTATTAGGTAAGCAGAATGAAACGTTTCTAAACTCAGTCCTTTGGGGAGGAGGTGGTTTGAGTTTTCATAGTAGAAGCTCAAATAACAAAAGCTGAGATCCTTATTTATTTTTTCTTTTTTAAATGTATGTAGAGAATTTTAAACAGTTTTAGCAGCATGAGTAATTTTCAGGTGTTTACTTGCCAGAAGTCTGTTCAGTAAATCCTCACAAATAAGACTAAGTAAAGGAAGACCAGCCAGAATGACACAAATTATTTTTAAGAAAAGGGTCTATTTATAATAAAAGTTATCCCAACAAAGTATTGCTTAGATAGCAATGATTTGTGATTATGCCAATTACATAGACATGTCCTAGGAAGTGTGTCCTCTTAGGCATTTAAGTCGCTCCCCTATTAGTTTGTACTAGGCATGAAGAGAAGGTTTGCTAAGTAAAGGTAAACTTCAACCCAGTCCACCAAACTCACTTAGTGTTTCACATTAATGATCTTTTTCCAAGAAAGTGGTTTAAAGTGAGCTGAGCATTGAATTCCACTCCTCTCCCTGCAAGTCTCATCAGACTGTGTTCATGAACCAGCCCCCCCGGCAGAGCACTGTGCAGGGTGGATTGATGGGGGAGTTTGAGTTTGTTTTTAGCTTCCCAACCCTTTAATACTTTTCTAGTATGTTTTGGCATTTTCTTAAGGGAAGCATTCTGCCTTGTTTACCTGTAGGTTTCCCGTGGTAGCAATGGGCGTGCTGAAATGGGTGGATTGGACCGTATCAGAACCAAGGTACTTTCAGCTCCAGACAGACCACACGCCGGTACACCTGGCACTGCTGGATGAGGTGAGAGGGCGGAAGGGTCTGTCTCCTGCTGTTTATTTTGGCACGCACTTCTCTTGCATCTGTTCAGGGAGTTTGGAGGATACTGTTTTCAAAAATAGTTATTTCTATCCTAAATGAGGATTTTCCTTTTAAGGATCATGTTTCATTGACTGCATAGATTTCTCAGTTTTTACCAAGTGTTACTGGAAGGACGGGGTGTGGCATAGAAGCTGGCTGGCCCTGGTCAAGTGTCCAGGACCATCCTCACCAGCTGCTGTAAGCTGTCTTTGGCGGCTGTGACAGTGACTGTGGTGCCCTGTACCCCGAGTGACCACACTGCTCAGTGAGGCTCCCTTTGGCATGTTGTAGATCAGCACCTGCCACCAGCTCCTGCACCCCCAGGTCCTGCAGCTGCTTGTTAAACTTTTTGAGACTGAGCACTCCCAGCTGGACGTGATGGAGCAGGTGAGCGGGCGCCCCGTGGGGTTCGTCAGGGCCGGGGAGGACCCCATTCTAACCAGTTCCTCTGTCTTCCGCAGCTTGAGTTGAAGAAGACCCTGCTGGACAGGATGGTTCACCTTCTGAGTCGAGGTTATGTACTTCCTGTTGTCAGTTACATCCGAAAGTGTCTGGAGAAGCTGGACACTGACATTTCACTCATTCGCTATTTTGTCACTGAGGTCAGCAATGCACCGTTGGTTTCAAGTTTCACATGTTTACGCTAGCACCCTGCCCTTTTTGGCTTAATTTAGTTCATTTTGTACCTAACTCTGAGAACTGTGCTTTCTGATAATCTTGGTGATGACAATGACAGATACCAATTTACCAACTATCTGCAGGACTGTATTATGTGTTTTACCTGCAGTCCCACCCTGAGTGTCTTATGTTGGAGGCAGGTGGTGTCTCCAAGGAAGCTGGGGGGCAGGGGGTGGTATTTTCTCCGAACTGATTGCCCTTTCTCCTGCACGTCGGGCTGTGTGGGAGGAGTAACCCGCTGCCTTCCCCGCACAGGTGCTGGACGTCATCGCCCCTCCGTACACCTCTGACTTTGTGCAGCTTTTCCTCCCCATCCTGGAAAATGACAGCATCGCAGGCACCATTAAAACAGAAGGTGAACATGACCCTGTGACAGAATTTATAGGTAAGGCCGATGTAAATATCCCTTTGTTGCAGTAGTAAATGTCACTTTTTACCTCCTGTTTCTAACCCGGTGACTGTTTTCCTTCTGTTAAAGCTCACTGCAAATCTAACTTCATCATGGTGAACTAATTTGGAGCATCCTGCAGAGCTGAAGCAGAACATTCCAGGAGACCAGTGGTGGAAAAACCCTTTCAAGAAGCTGTTGTTTTAAGAGAATCAGCATCTTAGAAATGAGCTTTGCTGGGAGGCAGCGGGTAACTGTTTTAAAAAGGAAAATTTAGCAGTGTAAGGGGAAAACTGCTGATATGAACAGCCCCTTCTCTTTGTTGTACACCCAGTTCTGCCCCCAAGTCCTGTGTACAGTGTAGGAACGAGGCTCCCGTTACCTCCCAGGGTGAACCCACCCGGCAGGCAGCCCAAGGGTGGTGGGAATTCAGAAACTGAGATTTCCAGTGAACCACTTTCAAAGCTGACCTGAGTTTTCTCCCAAGAATGCGAGAAGTTAGTTGATGTTTTATTATAATTATTTTAATTTGCTAAGAATAATAAATTTTTAAAAAGCCTTTCTGCTGGGATGGAGGGTGTGGGTCCTGATGCTTTGTCGCTGTCGTGTGTAAATGAGGCTCGCTCAGGCACGGTCCAGTGTGAAGTCTTTATTCATCACATGGGCAGCCCTCCCCCCACACACACTTTTCCAGAGAGACTTAAGAACTGGTGATGAGTCTGAACTATTTTTCCTTTTAAATGCTGTGTTAGTGGCCAGAGTTGCCAGATACAAACACCAGGCCCTCCACTGAGGAAGACCGAGGCCCATGATTTCCTGTCTTGTCACTTCCTCACCAGGCAGCCGACTGTGGTTAAGTCATCCCATTTCAGCTCTTAGGAATGCTCTTACAGCCAGTACCAGCCTGTCTTTATGTTGGCAGGTGCCCCTTCCAGGTGTCCAGAGCCATCCCAGCCATCCAGTGTTAACATTCAGTCACCCAGTTCTGCCAGCCAGTCTAGTGCCTGTAACCCTTGGGCCCCTCTGGTCATGGTTCATGATACTACTACTTAAAACACTGCTGTTCCAGGGACATCACCTTAAACAATGGGGTCCCCAAATGTACAGGACTCCTCAATAGCGAGGTTGTAACTGGCGCCCTTCCCATCCTTGTAGGTGCTGGTCACAATCTTCATCCATCCTCTCTCACCCTGTGGGTAGAAGTGAGATGGTCATTGACACGCAGTGTCCTGCCATCTGCCTGCATCCCTCAGCCCAGCCTCGAGGACGTGCAGGGTCCAGACAGTCTACTCAGCCACCCCTGTACCCTTCCCACGACCCCTACTTGGAAATCTCCAACAAAAGATGTTGACGCTTTAGACCTAATGACTCATCTACTTAGTAACAGCCCCATTTGTAGTCATTTAATAAAGAGAATTGACATTTCATCACTTCCATGTTAACCATTGTCTCCCATTTTGTAATAGTGAATTTCTATGTCTAAAACTATTAATGGCTAATACTAGTTCTTAAAAATTAAAGCACTGGAAGTGAAATTTTAACCCAACTCAAAAGTGTTTTTGAAAAACAGTTTTACCTAGCGAGTTCAAAACTGTGGCAGGAGAAAGAACGCAATGGCTGTAAGGGAAGAAGGCAGTGAGACCACACCCTCCGGCAGTCACCTAGGGGTGGAGGCCAGGGTTGCTGCTGACCACCCTACAGTGCACAGAGCAGCGACAGCTCCCACGCAACAAAGAAGGAACTAGCCCCCAAAGCCACTCGTGCTGTGGCTGAGACTCTGGGCTGGACCAAGAAAACCCTCTGCTGAAGGCCACCTTTTTTAAGCTAAAAGTCAGCAGAACCATTCAAGTGAGAGGAATATCAATTCTTTTCCTAGGTATGACTTGAGAAAGTGAAAACATCTTACCCATGGTTCACCCCATGAATTCCGGACAATCCAGTACTCAGTCCCGTCACCGACACCCCACCCGACCACGGAGATGATGTGGTTTATGTAGGCGTCGTCGTGGTATTCGGCGTAGATGCCCCCGGTGTAGTTAGCCATCTTTTCTGTTGCCATTATACCGCAGCTGCAGGCAGGCAGTTAGAGAACCAATTACTGCTCTAAACTGGAAGAATCTACCGTCATTACAAATAGTATGATATTAACGTGTAACTCCAACTGAGATAATACATATCAGACGATTCTGAACAAATTGTTATTCACATAGCGTCTTCCCTGCTGAAATGGCCCATCACGACACTCACTCCAGCTTGGGGAGCTTTCCATCTGCATTTCACCCGATAACCCCAGGAAGAGCCAGATTAGTTATTAGTTACTAGTTTTGCTTCTGAGAAAAATGAATTTCTTAGAGGTGAAATCGTGGCAGCTGTGTCTCAAGCCCAGTGGATAAAACTGGCCAGAAGGAAAGGGGTGAAGACACACACGCCTGCACACACACACACACACACACACACTGGCAAGGTCCCGACTGGTGCGACTTCTCACCTGATGGGGCCGTTTGCATAGATTTCCGCCATCATCTTCTCCCTCCCAGACAGGGAGCCATAGTCACCCACTCTCCAGAGGGTGTAGTTCCCGATGGCGTGGCACTCTTTGAATTCAGTGCATGTCCCACATTGGTTAAACTTGTCACACTCTAGGGGAGACCACGGAAAGTCAGCATGAAACTGTCCCCTCGTTAACCCACTAACAAAGAAGCTGCCAGATCCACTCTCCACTTTTCTAATGTAGCCTACCATTCATTAGCTAACAAGTCATCTCGCTCTCAGGTGCTGTTTAATTATGCTCTTCTTTCAGCTGCAAAGGATTTATAAAGAGCCCTCCCCCAGGAGGGCAGAAAAGAAACACGACAAACACTAGCACATAGTAGGCACTCAAAGGTTAGCCTTTTTTTCTCTTCTTTTAAAAGCTGGGACAGGACCTTTTCATAATACTTTACAGCTGAAAATTGAGTAATCAAATTATTATTAAGCGCAATCAAGATGATTCTATTGCTCGTTAGTGAATAAACAACCCAATACATCTAGTTAGAAAAAAAAGCATTTTCTTGTTTTTGGTTTGAGAGGTATCCAGATGTAGGCTTAAAGAAAAGAAAGAAAAGGAAAACAAAAAAGAAAAAGTGCAGCTCTTAGTTCTGCAAGACTCACAATCCCTGTGCTCTCACTTTATATACACCCCATCCGCCCAGCCCACCCTCGGCCTTTCTACTGCTTTGGTGTCACCTGTGTTTGTCATAGTTACACGGCCGTCCAGATTCTTCCCCCAGGACAGTAAAGTCCTTGAAGATTAAGTCGTTGGCTTCCTTGGCTCCTGGGACACAAGGCCCAGTGCCCAGCACAACAGGAAAACGGCGGCTCTGTGGCCACCTCTGCTCATACTACAGAGGCAAGACCACTGCAAACAACCAGGTTCCTGAGGGGCTGCACCGGCCCGCAGGCGCAGGTGGACTCACAGGTGTGGCCGTGGCTGGACGAGACCAGTCTGGGGTGGAGGAGAGGTGAGGCCCCAGGGACCCACTGATCCCTGATTTGTGATTCCAGAGCACACTGGCTTTCCCTCCTCCTGTCATCTGTCCCCATTCTGGGTCTCTGACACCTGCTGGGTTTGCCACTTCAACTAAGGACTCACCTCCAGTCCAGGAAAATTCTTTCTGGCGGGACAGTAAGGCCCCGGGGGCAAGGCAAGGGCCTGCTGTCTGCATGAGGTGGTGGCTAGAGTACCCCGCGCTGAGTCAGGCACACAGGCACCGAGTCCGCCCTTCTAGACTGGGGGAGGGGTGGGCGGCAAAGCACCGGGACCCCTCCCACTCTCACCCCCCACCGTCTCCAATGGCTTTTTGAGTTGTCCTAGCTCTCTGCTCTGGCGGAGGGAGATCTGAGAGTCAGGTGGCTCAAAACTGCCAATTGTGGGTTTGGGGTCTCGACTTTTCCTTCCTTTGGTTTCCAAGGGAACAGCCTAAAAGCAATGTGCCAACCACAGGGCCCCCAGGCCAGCTGGAGTCTGCTGGTCCAGGGAGCACCCTCTCGGCTCCAGCCACACTGGAACTCCCAGGGCCCCAGTCCCAGGTCGCCGGGGAGGGAAGCAGGCCCAGGCTGCCTTCTAGCTGGGCCCGCTGGCTTCTAGCTTGGGGTGGCGGCCTCCCCACCTGCTCTCCCCACCAGCAGTCCTGGAAAACCGACTCTTCCCTCCCCAAGGCCCACCTGCACCTCTCCCCTACAAAGGCTCATAAAACCCCCAAAATGCCAACATATCAGAACCCAAATACCACATCTGGGCCTCTCTGCAGGGCCCTTCCCACAAGGCTGCACACAGGAGCGGGCGGCCCGTCAGAGCCCTGACACGCCAGGCCGTTTTGACAGCCTTCGTGACACGGAGGGGCTCCGGCTCCGCCCCAGCCCCACGGGGTCAGGGTGGCAGAGGGGGCTTCTGCAGGGAGGCCGGCCTGGGGACACATCCCCTAACGCTCAGGGGCCCAGCCCTCCCTGGGGGCCCCAGCCTGGGCTCACGGCCACACTTTCTATAGGAAGAGGGGGCAGAGGGCAGGGGGCCGGGGCCTACCCTGGTCCTTGGCCTGGTAGTTGTTGCAGGTCTCGTCCGGGATGCCGTGCCGGTGGGCATACTCCCACACCGGCAGGTCGTTGCCGCCCTCGCAGGAGCCGGCCTGTCCGCAGTCGAGGACGTGCTGCACCGACAGCAGGGTGGAGGGCCATGCACCCTTCCTCTTGATGTTGATCCGATCTGCAACAGCCAGCACCGCCGTCAGTGCCCGCCCAGCCCGGCGGCGCCCACTCCCACCGGCTTCCCCGAACAGAGCTCCCCCCTCACAGCGCTGCCTTTTTTTGTTTGTTTTTTTTTTTTGAGACAGGGTCTCACTCTGTCGCCGGGGCTGGAGTGCAGTGGGCTGACCACAGCTCACCGCAGCCCCAAACCCCTGGTCCCACATGATCCTCCTGCTTCAGCCTCCCAAGTAGCTGGGACTACAGGTGTGCGCCACCACAACTGCCTAATTATTAAAATTGTTCTGTAGACACAGGGTCTTGCGATGTTGCCCAGGCTGGTCTCGAACTCCTGGCCTCAAGTGATCCTCCCACCTCAGCCTCCCAAAGTGCTGAGATTACCGGCGTGAGCCACCGTGCCCAACCAGACTTGCTTTTCTTAAAACAGCCGTAGTCTCTGCCCCATTCGACTACCCTTTGAGACAACCCCTGCGCCCGCTGCCCCTTCAGCCCACACTCTCCTAGCAGGCTTTCGTCTTTTCCTCTCCCCTAACGACCAACCCTCCATCCAACCTCTCATGCCCCACTCACTCCCGGTGGGGTGCTTTTAAAGCCACAAGAATTGGGTAGAAACCGTACTTGGGGTACCCACACAACCATTCTGTTTTTCACTTTCAGCGGAGCATTTGGTAAATTGTCAGATATTCAACACTTAATCATAAAATAGGCTTCATGTTAGATAACTTTGCCAAGCTGTAGGCTACCCTGTGTTCTGAGCACGTTTAAGGCAGGCTAGGCTAAGCTCAGGTGTATGAAATACATTTTCAGCTTGCAATATTTTCAACTATGGTGGGTTTGTCCAACGTAGCCCTATTTGAAAGTCAAGGAGCATCTGTAAGCGTGTGATGCATACGGTGCAATGAAGAAAAATCAAATGGGGAAGGAATTCGGGGTCTCTTTACAAGGGGGGCTGAGGGGGCCCCATGGCGGTGGGCTGTGATGCCTGCAGGAGGGAGGAGAGACGGGTACCCCCCGGGGGGAACGGGAGCATGAGGTGTACAGGGCCAGATCATGTGGGCTCCAGAGGTCATAGAAACATTGGCCTTTCGTGCAGGTGAAACCATCAGGGTTCCACCGTGAAGAGCAGCGTGATCTGACTCCGCTTTAACAGGCTCATTCTAGCAAAGTGAGGCCAGGCGGTCAGAAGGCTGGGCAGCGAGGCCAGGTGAGAGGTGGCGGGAGCAGGTGACTTCTGCAGGTATCTTGAAGGTAGAACCAACAAGACCTGTGGGTGAGTTGTATGAGGACGGGCAGGAGGAGCCAGGAGCACCTCTGGGCCTCTGAGTAACCCCAACGGGCCTGCGGTGCCAGCCAGGAGGGAGGAGCTGTTCGGACCTGCAGGCCCGAGGCTGGGAGGCGTCAGGTGTCTGGGTCAGGTGTCTGGGCGAGCAGGTGAGTGGGCAGGAGGGTGTGAGGGTGAGTTCAGGGGAACGGAGGAGAGGACAGGAAGGAACCGCCAGGCGTGCGGGCGGGGAGGGCGGCATTTCAAGCACAGTCAAAGATGGTGGGGCCTAGGGATGGCCCCTGCCCTGCCTCGTGGTGGCCCCCAGAGATGGAGGGCGGTGGGGTTGAGGCTGGGGGTGCAAAGTCTGAGAAGAGGGGCCTCAGCTACCTCCCTCGGAGCTGAGAAGCGGGGCGGGGCGGGGGCTTTCCCCCACTTGTTCAGGTCAGAGGGCGCTTCCCTGAGTGGGGGAAGGGCGGCCTCGGCGAAGGGCTGGGACGCTGGGCCCCGGGACAGGAGGGAAGGCACGCTATGGCCCAGCTGCATTAGCTGGCAGAGGGGCAAGGCCCCCATGGAAGTCCCCTTCTGGTGGCTTCTATTTTCTCAGCACAACAGGAAGCAGGGCCTTGGCTGTTGCCAGAGATGCTGGAGTCTCACGGAGCAGGAGGAGGGAGCAGCCCTCTGGCGCGGGGGACAGTCCGCTCTCGAACTGCGGGAGGCTGACCCCTGGCTAGTGCCCAGCACTCATCAGACAGCTGACAAGCCACCTTTGGCCACTTCCTCCCTACCCTGAAGTCCTTCGCAGATGCAAATCTTGTCACCTGACTCCCTCTCAAAGATAATTCAAGGCTTCCCTTTCCAGTGCTCTGCTCACCCTCACCCCACCCAAGGCTGGGCCTCAAAGGCTTTCACTTCCTCAGTGGGCGCCATCCTGCGCTCCCCCGACCTTGCCCAGCCTCTGCCTCGGCCCGCCCACGCCGCCCGCCTTGCCAAGGGCTCCCGGAACTTCCCTCGGGGGAGGCCCTGGCTCCATGGCCGCCCCAGTCGGAAGTACGCTCGGCCCCCAACCAGGCCCCCAAGAGAGAGACAGGGCCAGGCCACAGCTACAGCCGGCCAGCTCCGGGGTCCAGACCCCTCCCTGAGCAGGAGCCCCTCACCCAGAGCACAGAGCCCAGCAGAGGCCTGGCCCAAAGCCCAGGCTTCTGGGCTCGAATCCCAGCTGTCGCACCAGGGCCAAGTCTCCAGCCTCCCTGCAAAGAGCCTCGGTTTCCTCATCTACAAGTTGAAAGCACTCATGGCATCGAGGAGGCCTAAATGAGATGATGACACAAGTGCGTGCCACTGCAGCGGCCACACTGTGTTAACCTCTCAACACGGACCCTACACAGCAGGCCTGGCCCCTGAGGTACCAAGGCCAGGGCAGGAGGCAACAGCCCCCAGTACTTCCGGTCCAAACTCCAGCCAGCATGAGTCCCTTCTCCAGTGGCGTTCCGGGCTCCTGGAGAGGGGGCTGTTACTGAGGAGGGCAGAGTCCTTCCCAAATGCCTGGGGCCCCAGGCAGCCTCCCTTCCCAAGGCAGGGCACAGCCTCCTCCATGGGAGCCCCTCCCCCCTTCCCGTGAGCCTTCCTGGCCAACTGCAGCCAGAGGCTAAGGTCCAGATGAGAAAGAGCCAGGTTGGGGCAGTGACAGGGTGGGGCCATGGCTGCGGCCGGCCAGCCTCACTCCACACTCCAGGCCCAGGACAGGCTTTCATCTCAAATACTGCTGCTGAGAAGCAGTTTCACTTCCCTGTCCCAAGGACCGGCTGGGGGCCCAGTGATTTTCATTTCTGGTTCTGCCCAAGTGGCTAAGGTCACAAGCTTTGGGGGGAGAGGGGACCTGGGAAACACTGGCTTCAGTCACCCAAAGGCCCTAGGCGGCCCACCAGAGAGCCCCAGAATGACCCAGCTTGGGTCTCTTCTGCAGAGGGCAAAGGCCAGCTCCCCTGGGCCAGAGAGGCGCAGGGACCAGCCAGCCCAGGCTGACCACTGGCATAGAGTCACAGGCTCCTGGACCCCTGGGCTGTGGCTGCCTGCGCGGGCGCAGGGTCCAGGGTCCAGGGGCAGCCACCGACCTGCCATGGCGCTGGTGCTGCCGTGGGCCCAGCAGGAGCCGCAGTACCGAGGGATGTGCTGGTTCCTGGTGATGCTGGCATAGTTGACGCCATTCACGTTGCGCCAGTCCCAGCTCTCGGGCAGGTCCGACGGGGACAGGTACTCGTAAGGCCGCGGGTATGTCCTGGGAAGAGACCAACACCACCGACATCAGCACTGGGGCACCCAGAACCCCCTCACAGGGGCCAGGGCACCGCAGCCCTCTTGAGCCCCTCCTCCCTCTCCCAAAAGGTGAGGGGGTGGGCGAGGGCCCCCGCAGCCACCAGGTGTGAGATGTGAGACGGGTGGGAGTCCCAGCACTCTGGGCATGGAAGGAGGGAAGCTGAGTGCTCCTCGAGCGAGCCGCGCTGGGGACAAGCCCCAAAGGCCACAGGCTGAGGCGGGCCTGGCTTTCTGGACAGGCAGGGCTTGTCCAACCCCACAAACACCAGGGCTCCCCCTGGATGTGCAATTGGAGGGACCCTCAAAACGATGGGGCTGGATCTGGCGTTCCAAGGCCCAGGGAGGCAGGGTCCCCGAAAGGCAGGCCAGCGCGCCCAGCCCCAAGGATGCGGCCATACCTCCCCTCCCCCCACTGACCCCTGCCCCGCGGGCGCCCACCTGCGCCCCAGCTGCGCCAGCTGGTCCCCGCGCAGGGGCCGGTAGCAGGTCTGGCCCGGGCGGAAGTAGAGGCCGGCCCGCGCCGCGCCCGCCAGCAGCACGAGCAGCAGCAGCGGCCCCGCAGGCCTGGACGACGCCATGGCTCCCGCGCCCGGCCCGCTCCGGATCCCGCTCCGGATCCCGCCCCGGATCCCGCCCCGGATCCGAGACAGGGCGCCAGAGGCCGCTCCGGATGCCGCTCCGGATCCCAGATCCCGCGCCAGGCCGAGCCCACTCCGGCCTCGCCCCGCACCGCGGCCCTTAAGGCGCAGCCGGCCGGGACACTCCCCTGGGGCGGGGCCGACCCCCTCCCACGCCGCCCCGCCCGGGTGACCCCGGCCCGCCCCGCCCGGCCCGCGGGCAGCGCCTCCTCCCTGGCCCCCGGCGACTGAGCGGAGGTCCGAAGAGCCCGACCTGCAGCTGGGCCCCCAGGCCGACCCCACCGCCAGCCACCAGCCACCTGTGCCAGCCACCTGTGCGGGACTGTCCCGCCTGGCTCACCGGGATGGGAGCTGCAGGCGCTCTGGCTGCCGCCCAGCCCTGGATCCCTGGGAGCCTCGCGCCTCCCCTCTGGGCCTGGGAATGGGTGGGCGTCTGGAGTCCTGGGAGGAGGCCCGGCCGCCCGGAATTATGTCCTGGCTTGGCTTTCTGAACCCCGTTGCCCAAAGGCCCAGGCCCTTTCTGGGGAGATGTTTACCTTTCACAGAAAAAGAAGGTGGGATCGTCTAGCAGATGCCCCTAAAGGAAGATTGCACTTGGCACGCGAATCCTGAGTTCTACACTCCGACTGCCAAAGAGCTTGGAAACGTTTTCTGCTGACAAAACTCTTCTGAGTCAAATGAGGAACCCAAAGCAGAAGTGGGACCCTCAGGACTTGGTTTCGTAACTAAGGGCCCCTCGTGAGCAGTTGTCACAGGGAGTGGCCGCACAGTGGCCTCCTGGTCTCGTCAGAAAACGGTCCTGCCGTTCTGTTCTGGGGTCTCCACAGGCCTGTGCTGGGGGTCCCCTGTGTGGGGTCCTCAGGTGACTCTCACGTCCCTTCTCCCTCCTCGGCGGGCACCTGCCCCATCCCAGACCCCTCCCTTCCGCCTGTGCCAGGTGGGCACCAGAAACCATGGTGGCTGGCTCTTTGGCTTCCAGCACTTTCGGAGGCCCCCTGGAATCCCCGCGGGACCGGGAAGGCTACCTGGCAGCTCCTGTCAGAGCAGAGGGACACCTCAGAGGCAAAGGCCAGGTGCTGCTTCATCTGGCAGACGTTCCCAAAGAGTGGTCGCCCAGGCGAAGTGTGGGCACGGGCTGATGCATCTTTTGCGTTTTGGGCAGTCGCTCATGCTAACAGACACGAGGAGGTGGGTGGCTCCCTGGGCATCCCGAGAGGGGCCCCAGGTGGAGCTGGGGGTGGCACGGGGCCTGGGCCTGCGGCTCTGGCCAAGAAAGGAGCACAAAGGGACCTGCCAGCCGGGGCTTTCCTCCTCCCGCACGAGCTCTCTGGCCGCCCAGGCCGTCCTGTGATGGTGTCGGGCGGCGTCTGCCAAAGTGGTAGGTTTTTGGTATCCTCTAAAGAAAAAGCTACAATTTCACAATGTTCCCCCAGGTACCCATTGACAGTCATGATCGGGTTGGCACGAAGTCCACGCACATGCTCTACGACAGGAGTGAAGACTAAACTCTGATTTTTTTTTTTTTTTTTGCTAAAAACTCCTTCCTAAGGAGGCCAGCTGGGTCAGGCTGACAAATGGTAAATTCTCACTAAGCGGCTTTTGTTAACCAAATAAAGCGGTAATTTACTTTCCAACCTGATTCTGGTATGGCATTAGCATCACCTAAAAGATAAGAAGCCCCTGTCTTAACTCAAGCATCCTAGCAGATGCCTATTCTTAAATTTAAAGCATCTTAAAACATCCTAGCAGGCGCCTATTGTAAATATAAAATGTCCTCCTGTCTAAACCTCCCAGAGTGCTCACAACCTTATCTTAAAATAAGCATATCCTTTCTGGTCTTCTAGATAAAGTCTAACTCTCTCAGCCAATTGCCAGCCAAAGAATCTTTAAACCCACCTATAACCTATAAGCCCCCACTTCGAGATGTCCCACCTTTTTGGGCCAAACCAATGTATGCCTCTCATGTATTAATTTGTGATTTTGCCTGTAACCCCTGTCTCTCTGAAAATGTATAAAACTGAACTGTCACCCAGCCACAGCGAGCCCACTTGCTCAAGGCTTCTTGAGAGTGGCTCCAGGTCATGGTCCTCAAATTTGGCTCAGAATAAACTTCTTTCAAATATTTCAGGGCTTAGATTTTTTCCGTCCACAGGGGGCACAAACGCCCAGAGGGGAGGACATGCCCCGGGCTCGTCCTTGGCAGCCTGGGCCTCGGTGGCAGAGCTGTCATCCCTGGTAGCAGGAGAAACCCGCCCAGGTTACAACCCCATCCGCTCACGTGGTGCCGGGTGGCACGGGATGCTCCGGAGATGCCCCGAGGTTCTCAGAGCAGCTCCACGCGTGTGGGCGGTGTCGGGCAGGTGGTGTCGGGCAGGTGACAGGCAGGGCCGGCAGTGCAGGCGGCTGGCCCTACAGGCCCTCGGGGCCAGCTCAGAAGCACCAAACACGATGGAGGGCAGGGCTGAGTGAGGGCCCTGCGTGTCTACTGTGCTCTGGGCCCTGCAAATGAAGTGACCGATCTGCTGATAGCAGCCCTACCTGCCTGGTCACGAGTCTGTCCTGTCACCTCCTTCCAGCCCAGAGCCTCTGGGAGGTAGGATTTACAAACAAGGGTCAGGCCAAGGTCAGGAAGGTTGTGGACAGGAAGTTCTCCAGTAGGCAAAGGCACCAGGCTGTCCCTGGCGGGTTACCTGGCGGAGGCTGGTGGCAGGCAGGGGTGTTTGGATGCTGGTAAGGAATAGCACATGCTGTTGACAAGTCAAGGCACACTGGGGTTTCCCTAATAGGAGCAGCTCAATCTCAGAAAATCCAGGCAGGAAGTGGGGTGGCAAGTGCCTACATCTGAAACTAAAACACTCAAGCCAAGAAGGAAGTGAGAGCTGGAGAGACCCCCTCTGTATCCACCTCTTCGGCCCCTGTGAGCAGGCAAACACAGCCAGGCCAAGCGGACCGAGGGCTCTTCACCTGCGAACTTGGCTCTGGTGGGGTGGAGGCTTGTCCACCTGGCAGACGACTCCAGGAAGCCAGCCAGCGGCAGCACTTCGGGGTTCCTGAGCTGTGCGGGGCTGGGGGCCCTTCCAGCCTCGGCGAAGCATGTCCTGTTGAGGGGGGCGGCCACACACCCAAGCCGCTCAAACGAGGGGCCAGGGCTGCTGTTCATGAAGGGAGTCTGGCCTGAGGAGTCTCCAAGGGCACACGGGTAAAGTGAGGAGTGGCTGGGGCCACAGAAGAGGAGGGGCACACTGGGAACCTGCCGGACCGGCCCGGCCACCCCGCTGTCCCTGGCCGGAGGTTGCCGGCTGGCTGCAGGTTGAGTTTATCCCCAGGAATGTTTCTCTTCAAAGCAGACTCACCTGCGGCAGCCTGGGGGCTGGCTTGGCAACCTGAAGGGTGTGTTTCATAGGCAGCTGTGGCGTGCCTCCCAGCTTGGGGCTTGGGGCAGAATCTAGTCGGGGCTTGAGAGCCAGGGGTCTTCTCTGAAACCACTGTAAGGTTCTGCCTGGGAAGCTGGCCATGTGCCCCAAGTCTCCCTTCCTGGAGGTCACCAACCCGTCCTTCCGGCTCGGCTCCGGTGGTGCTCAAGGGCAGAGGGCTGAGCTGGTGACTTTCTAAAGAACTCTGTAGTAGTCCTTGTTTGATCCTATGCACAACCCTGTGAACGGCAGGGTGCAGACGCTATCACCCCATTTTACAGGTGAAAAGACTGAGCCTCCAGAGATGTCAAGAGACATGTACTCAGCACGAGGTGCCCCAGTGGCAGGTTTGACTGTAGTTCCCTTTTATTTTTTTTTTTTAACTCCAGAAAGTCTCTTGGCAAACACATGATCCAAGGCCACAGACACAAAAGCCTATTCATTTCTAAAAATAAGTTTGATATTTTTTTCCCCCTTGTCCTGATAAAAAACAACACACACATTTTAAAGTTAGGCCAGAGCCGGCCCACCTTCCCAACCTGGACGGAGAGGAAGAATGCAGATGGGTTTCGTTGACTGTGGAATCGCCTCAAAGTCCTTTCTTCCCTTCTTTCTTCGTGTGCATTGTCTGGCTCCCGCTCCGGCAGCTGCAGACATTTCCTATTATTCCACATTCCTGAGTTTAGCCACATCCTGGATACTGGCCTTTGTTTTGATGGATACTGACAGCGCTCGGTAGGCGAGTCTGGCTCTGCAGGGCGCGATGGCTCCCTGGCCAGCTTCAGGGTCCCCTCTAGAGCTGGCCATGCGGTCGTCACCGGTCGGAAGCTCACACCAACTCCTGGATGCCTTCTCAGACCTTCTAATCGGGTGGGTCAGGTCTGCGGTCCACCTTGCCGGTCCCCAGGCACCTCCGTGCATCGCAGCCTGGCCTGGCTGCACGTGGCCTGCTGCACACACCTGCCGGGGGCTGGACGTGGCTCTCTGGGCCCACATGCGTGAGGCAGCCTCGCCGGCATCACCCTGGGGAAGACGCCAGCTTTCCAGAGGGCCGTTTGGTCATTCGCCCCATCCAACTTGCCCTGTAAAGTCAGGCCGTCAGCAGACGTTTGTGGAGCACCTAGTATGCGCAGACTACGGGGGGGACATAGCAGTGGCGGAGTCCCTGCCTGCGAGGAGCTTAGGCTTTGGCCAGGGATGGAAGCAAACTGCCTGGGGAGTAGAAAGCGCTTGGAGACAGATAAAATGGGGGGCGCTGGAGACTGGGCCTCTGGGGAAGTCTGGTCTGGGACTGTTCTCTCTGGTGTCCAGTGAGTTCGGATTGAATGACGAGGATGCAGCCATGGAAAGTGCTAGAAGGAAGAATATATGCACAGGCCGTGGGGTGTGAACACACTGGGGAGGGAGGAGTCCCCGGGAGGAGGCAGAGGGGCTAGTTCGGTCGTGGAGGTGAGGGCTGGCGGCGATGGCTGAGGGATGCTGTCGGGGTCGGGGAGAGAAGACATGCTGGGCCACCCACCTGGGGCAGGGGTGGCAGGGTGCCGTCTTGGACCAGAGGTGACGAGGAGGTGCTGGGAGCACTCCAGGCTCCTAGGATGTCTGGCTGGAGGCCATCTGGCCAGCCTGCCTC